GATTGCTAATGGCTCCCTTCCTCCCCCAAATTGTTGGAGCCTGGAGGTGCCTGTCCTGATGCCAGTGATCTTTTCATTGGTGCAGGAAGTCCATTCAGCCCTGCATTGCTTTTAATGAGTTTTGCAAGCAAGTGGCCTCTTCCTGTGACTCATTCTGCCTTTTGTGCACCGGAGATTGTGGTTTTAAGTTTCACTTTGGAAAGTAACCACCACTTCTGCTGCTTTCTCCCTGTTGGAATCTGAACAAGTTACATTCATTTTGCAACAAAGAAATGTAAATGTAGGAGCCGCCAGTCATAGTTCTGCTCTGATTGTAAAAACATCCTTTTCCGAGATGGTTGACGGAGCCAAGCTAAGAAGAAATGGTTTATATTTTCAAGTAACACATTCATTTGGGAACTCCATATTTCCCGCTCCTCCCACCCATCAAGTTTGCTTTTGTTCTTTGTCTTATTGATTCATATTTCAGGGAGATCCTAAAAAATAAACAGTGCTTGTTGGTTGAGTGAGGCGGTTAACCTCTATTTTATTGAAAGAGACTTCATTCTGGACAAACGCTTGTGTTCTTCCTTCATGCAGTACACAGGGGATGACCATAACGATGACTTCTTACACAGTGAAGTTTTTCCTTCGAACCTTCCACACAAATCCGCTTATGGTATTCGAATAGATGAATTTCTTAGGATTAGTGAATATATGTTAAGTGGACAAATATTATACAATATTTTTCCTCAAATTTAAATATTGTAGGCATATTTAAAATGTTAGTGTTGAACTAAACTTTTTATATAACTTTATTTAAATATGTACAAACATTAAACAGTAGCTCTTATAGCATTATAAAACCAAAATGCGTTTAAGTACAGATAAAACTATAGTGCTAATTGGCTGGACACAGTGGTTCACGCCTGTAATCCCAGCACTTTGGGAGGCTGAGGTGGGTAGATCACTTGAGATCGGGAGTTTGAAACCAGCCTGGCCAACATGGTGAAACCTTGTCTCTACCAAAAATACAAAAATTAGCCAGGCATAGTGCCATGTGCCTGTAATCCCAGCTACTTGGGAGACTGAGGCGAGAATTGCTTGAACCCTGGAGGCAGAGGTTGTAGTGAACCAAGGCTGCGCCATTGCACTCTAGCCCGGGCAACAAAATGAGACTGTGTATCAAAAACAAAAACCAAAACAAAAATTATAGCGCTAACAGAGTTCAAATTCATATGGAAAGTGCTGATGTATTGAAGCTAGTGAAATGATGTTGGATTTGGGCTTATAATAGATGTATCTGTGCTTTTTGTTTTATCTGTCAACTTGATTCTTCTGACTTGAGCGTAATGGACCACCATTAAAATCATCATTATAACACTGACTTCTACAAAATGCAGTAATGAAAAAGTTCTTATTCCATATTGACATCCACACTGACTGCCAATGAACTGTTGCAAATTTTTACAACAACAATGGGATCTCTTTGATCCACTGTCTCACAGGACAAATGTGGCACTGACTCGGATTTGGGGACTTTAAAGTTCAGCCAGACTTCATTGTCCTGATTTTCTCTTTTTGAAGTGCTATAAAGTCTTGGTTTGGAGGTTACATGATCATTTCGCTTACTCAAATCCTTGGCACACTTAGGGATGTAAATGAAGCAGTTCTGCCTTCCGATCCATCCTTGGGCAAAGCTCAGCGGTCTCTTGGGTGAGTAGAGCTGCTTCTTCCATTGGAAGGAGAGAGGAGCAGGTGAAGAGACCTGCAGGAAGCCACTTCCAGACCTGCACACGCCCTGCCGCCCTCTAACAT